CATTTCAATTCTTTTACTCTCTTGATGATATCGTATACTTTCGTTTGATCTTAAAGTGGAAATCAACATAGAATGAGATGTACGACAAGGCGATACAATATCACCTAACCTTTTCTCAGCCTATTTTGAAGAAGTGTTTCGCAAACTAGACTGGGCAAAAGATGGAATAAAAATCAATGGCACTTATTTAAATCACTTAAAATTGCAGATAATGTTCTCTTCTCACAAGACCCAGAAGAGCTACAGAGTTGCACAAAGCAGGAGAACCGTTTGGCTTAAAAATAAATCTGAAAAAGAGCCAAGTTATATTTAATAAATTCACTAAATAAAGAAAAAAATGTATATCTGGAGAGGAAATTATATATAGTCCATAGAGATATAAAAAGGGGAAACCTGATAAAATGAACATTGCATTGAAGGGACCAAAAGGTTTCTATAAATTAAGGCTATAAATGAAAAATTTGATAGTCCTTTCAAAGTACCTCAGTCTTATTAATTGATTTTTTTTCTAAAAAAATGCTTTATTAATTTTTAAGAATTACAATCTTTAGTACTTAGTAGACAACGTGTCTGGGTTCACATATTTAACATTAACTTCTTCAATATAAATCTATTCAGTAGTGTACAATCCAGTATTTTTTCCCTGATCCTACTTCCCCATATTTTTTTCCATTTTTTCCTCATTGCACAGTTACAATTCTTGGTACTATTGATGTATACAAAGTTAGATATAAACATCATCATGTTTTACTAATGTTATACAAATAATAATATCAAATTCATAGATCAATATCCTATTTTTCGTGCTCTCATTAAAGTTTGATTTCCCATCAATATTTGAAGTATCTTTGTCAGTTATGCTTTTCTCAATATTAATTACATTTATAGAGCTAAAAATTTTATTCGTACCAATCCTATTTTCATATTTTCATATCAAAAAAGAAAAAAATGCTATTTTAATTCTAAATCATATACTTCATTATAAAAGTCTAATTATATCTAAGGGTCATCCATTCTTTTAATCATATTCAAACAATATTTAAATAAATAATGCCCCCTCTAATAGATCAAATCTTCAATTTTTTAAATCTAACTCTTGCTTTCTTTCTTTGCCAAGTAGCTTTCCAAGCCAAGGCAATTAAATCACCCAGGATTTTTTTATTTTTGTGAAAGTTGCTTGGCATGAGGAAGACAATTTAGGTAGGGTATTTTTTGGGAAGAATTCTGCCCATTTAAGCAACTCCCACTTTCCTTCTCTCTCAATTTGTCTCCCAAGTTATAATATTTCCCTTGACAACTATATGTTCCATTTTTTAAAATCATCTTCCTTGTCATCAGGTGTATTTTGCAGACTTAAGAGGTAAAGAGTCTTTTGCATTTTCATTGTTATGGGTAAGTCTTGCAGTATTTTATTTGTATATGGTAGTTTATATTTCCCTTCTTTTATCTCTTCCATCTCTAGGTCCATTTCCTCTGGTTCATCTTCTGATTTCTAGTTTATTTGTTCATACTTTGTAGTCATTGTCTGGGAACTTTCTAGTTGTAAATTTAATTTGGAGATTCGCACATTTATATTATCTAAATTAGTTTTAATCTCATTATGTCCATTTAATCTCATTATGTCCATTTTTATGTCCTCTTTGTATGCAACAATTGTTTGGTGAATTAGTTGTAGCATAGAATATATTTCCTTCTGAAAGGTGTTTGTTTTTTCTTGAGGCATCATTTCTGGAGATCCTCTAGTATCACCAGTCTCTGTAAGAGTAGAACAAAGTTTCCTCTGGTGTTCTGGTCTTTATATGTAGCCTTTATAATCCAATAGTTCCAAAATACAGGTCCAGTTCCAAAAGCAATATTTTATAGCGATCCTTTATCTCAGACATCCAAAAATTGTCAGTCAGGCAAGGTTGTAATCTACAATGTTCAAAGTGTTCAAAATGTTCAACCTCCATGAAAACAGCTCAAAACTTTCTCCCAGCCAGACGTAATCAAAGGTCAATTTTTTTTTCTCTCCCACTAGCTCTTGAGATTAAAAGTCCAAGCTCAGTAGGTGTTTATAGCCTCAAAAGGTCAGGGTGATAAGTATGTCAAAATATTTTCCTTTATTGCCAGCTGTTCTCCCTTAAGTTAGAAGTCACCAAGCACACTAGATGTCATTCAAAATCCATTTTCTACTCTTAAGAAAAAGGATTGATTTCTTATATTTCACCTCAATGTTTTTTTTCAAAGAGAAAATCTTAACAATTATCTCAGTTCTCAAATTTATCAAAACTGTAGCTCTATGTTACTTCCACTTCAATATTGTGTATTTCTATCCTCCATAAAAATTAAAATGCCACTTCCGTTCATATTCAGAGGTTTTTAGCTTCTTGTGAGCCTTTCCCAGGAAATTCAGTTGTAAAATAGTAAAGAAAGGATCAATATTCTCACCCAGTTCCAAACACGCTGTTTACAATATGCTAATTGGTGCTTTTCTTCTTCAGTTGTCAGCAGCTAATGGCTGGTCATAGAAATGTGGCCAGTCTTTCCACTGCCGATTTGGAGCCTTTTCTTGGATCAAACGGAAAGACTGCTGTCTCTCCATGATTGACGAGACACCCCTCCTTCTTCATTGCTTCTTTGGGGCAACTTTAGGCCCATTTTAGGGCAAAATCGGATGTGGAAGGCAGACCCTGCTTTCCTGCATCCGTCTCACCGCAACGCAAAACCGGAAGTCCTCTTTAGTAATGCAATAAGAATAAGAACACCTCAATCACTAGTGGAGTTTCTATACGGCTAGAGAGAAGAGCTTTCTATGTGGGCCATACAGACTCTTATAGAAATAATCAGAGAGTGCTCAGGGTAAGATTTTCTGATTATTTGTTTGTGTAAGCAATGGGAAAGTTTGGCTTTGTCCAACCTGAATGTCTATGTCCCATATGATCTGCTTAAGTTCTACCAGGTTTTTTTTGCTCAGAATGTTAGACAACATAATCTTGCCAGGACCTTAAAAGAGACATTTTTTTCAGGCCAAATAGACAAACAAGCAAGCCCCTGCTACTTCCCAGTTCTTCAGTGTTCTCCAAACTGTCCTCTTATGGCAGTCTCTGTTGTCTCTGAATAGTTTTAATAAAACAATGTTTTTCAAAGTCCTATTAGTATTGTCCAAAATAATCCAGCCTGCTGTTATATTATGTATGCGTCAACCACTTAAGAGATCTAATTTTAAACCATAGTTCAACAAAGAAGGTGCATTGGTTAAAATGCAGGTAATGCAGGCATACAAGGGAGTACGTAGAGCCAATGATCTCTAGTCCTATGAGATTTTTTCTGAGCATAAAAGGAGATATAAGAAGCTATTAAAGGCAAAAAAAATAACAAATATGCCCAGAAATTCTGGGCAGAGATCCAGCAAGAGATAGCAAACAAAAATCATAGGTTATTTTTATTTCTAATAATCTTCTAAAAATCTTCAGTTAACACAGAACCATAACACAATTAAATCCCTTGACACTTGATACACGCATTTATCAAGTGTATTTTCACCTATTTGCGATTGTATCTCAAGCATTCCTGTATTAGAGGACTCTATTTAAAATGGCCCCCAGTTACTGATGTGGAAATACAAAAAGTAATTACACAACAAAAAATAAAAAATTCTTTCTCTTGGAATTCTTATATCCTTAATAGTGGACATCAAACACTTTTTTTCTTATTATAAATTCCTCTATAGTAAATCCTGGAAGCCAATTTGATGTTGTGGTTAAGGCACTAGGCAGGAAACTGGGAGATTGTGAGTTCTAGTTTCACCTGAGTCACATAGCCAACTGCATGAGTTGGACCAGTCACTCTTTCTGAGTCCTAAGATGCACACAATGGCAAAACACTTCAGAAATCTTGCCAAGAATACTATAAGGACTTGTCCAGGCAGTCACCATATTAAAAAAAAAACTGACTCAAAGGTGCACATGCATACACATACATAATTCCTAAAAACTACTCAGTTCCATCCCACAATATCAAACAAAGGAGTCAAGCTACCATCCAATTAGTTTTCTCTCTGGAATTTGTAAACTGTTGTGTTAGACTTCTCTCTGGATGTATATGTATTATAGTGCCAGAACAGGCAGGATTTGAGAATGAATATTCTATAATAAATCAGTGCCTAGCATTATATCATTATATCATCTGGCAGAAAAATATTAATAAACTTCCAAATGGAGCTGTGATATCACAGTCCTCGAAAGCTCCTTGAAATCTCTACATAGCCTAATTTTTGAAATGATGCATCATCCACATACAAAAGAATAGGGATTGGACAATAAGTGGAGATTGGACAACAAATGTGGAATGGAGGATGAAAATCTGAATTGATAAAAAGTACAATATTGTTAATGTACAGATTAAATAATGGAGTGGGGTGGGGTAGAATACATCCTTATTTAGTTCTCTTATGAATTGGAATAGAATCCCCAAAGTTCCTCAAAAATAAAAAGCTCTGTTTTTCCCCACAAGTTGCTCTGATAATTATCAAGTTGGAAAGTTAATGGCAGACTCATTGAGCAAGTGAAGTTATCTAAATACCTGAGTATTCACTTCCAATCTTCAACATGCTGTGGTCATCAACTATGAAAGGACAAAAAGGATTTCTAGCAATCAACACATTTGCTAGTTGGCAGGGAAATAATTTTGTCTCTGCAGCAACTGAACTATTCAAAGCCAAACTGCAAAATGAATCTCAGATGGGTATTTACAAAAGCTTCTCAGTTCTTGAACAAACCAACAAACTTCTTATAATCAATAGTACGTATCTCATACTCTACTTCTAATACCAGATTAGAACTAGATTGTACATTTATCATAACATGTTCTTGATTCCTTAATGTAGGGGACAGAGAATATTAGTAACTTTGAAGTTTTGCTTTGGAATTAGAAATATATTTTTGACATCCAGTAGATTTTGCTGAGGGAACTAATCCTGAATTTCCCCTATCAATATGTCAATTTCTCTTTGCTTTTAGATTTCTGGAATGTGCTACAGTAGTAGTCTTTTAAAAGTGTACCACATACTTTCTGTGCCCTCTGGCATAGCAAGGATATTTGCTCAAACTCTTGAACCAATTTTCTCATCGGCGGAGCCCTCTAATGAATTTGGAGTTGGAATGGGAGCAACTATTGATATACAGAGGCAACAGCGGATGGAGCTACATGATCGACAGATCTTGATTTCTCAGGTTGCTCAGATGAGGCGACAAAGACAAGTAAAGTCTTTTTTCTGCGTGATATAGTTTATTTGTGAAATGGATTTATCCATTTATAAAGTTAATCCTTCATAGAATTAACAGTCTTTTTACATATTATGGATATGTTCTGTTTATTCACAAAATATTCTTAGTCTATTCTTAAATTAATTAGATAAATCCTTAATGGATTCATTTGCACAACATATCAAATTTATTTTTGATTAATGTTGGTTAGATTTCATGTGTCTGTGTGTGTTTCTTGCTTTAGGATGTTGTTCAAATTCACACTATTTGATCAATTTATAGTTGAATGTATTATGTGAACTCATATAATGGTATCTGTCAGGATTTTCCCTTTCCTCTTTTGTAAAACTCCTCAGAAATTAACTTGTAACTTGACCCAAGAGGACAAACATGACTGAACTGGTCTTATCTTGGGGTGAAGGGGGCATAGGATACAGATAGGACGTTAAAGGTGATTTAAACCAGAGGATATTAAAGGTGATTTGAACTCAGAAGACAAGTGCTTGATGGAAAATTACAGTTTGGTGGCAGACTTCCTGCCTGCAGCTAACACTTAAGTGCCACTGCTCCCACCCTTAAAAAATATATATTTGGGTGAATTTATCCTTAATCATGTTAATTCCATGTGCCATGGAGCGGTTGAGTGAGGATAAGAGTGACTTCAATGTGATCATTAGCTGAGACAAAAGGAAGCTTTTTTTTAAAAAAAAAAACAACTTGATGAATATAAAATTGTTCACGGATCTCATATCTTCCTGATTCAGAGGAACTTAATTTTAGTGGTCTGATCTACATTAACCGCAGAAAAACTTTGGAGTGCCAGTGGCTTTTGCAATCCAGCTTTAAAGTGATGAAATAGTTTTATACTTCCCCTTACAAATTCATTTCCCAGATACCCTTCTTCTTTCATTCATTCAAGTTGCCCAAGATGCTCCTCATCATTGAATGTCTTCACTGACGTAGAAATATAGGAGGTGTATTTAAGTTAAAAGCATGTTTATGAAACTGGTAGGATTCTGCTTCTTCAGAAGCAGAAGGGTTTTAATTCCTTACATTGCCAACCCTTTGCAGTTATCTCCTCCCTGTCACCAGTCCTATTTTTTCCCTTAAATATGTCATGTCTATAGATTTAAAGTGTCATAAAGATTTATTGTTTTATTGTTATTTTCCTTCTCAGTTATATGCATTTCTTTGTAAAGACCAGTTTATTTAATCATTTCAAAATGGTTGTTGTCACCTGTGGAGAATGTATGGAAATTGTTTGAATTTGCAAAAGACTTTTATCACTTTGGGGTTTTGACATCTCTTAGAACAATAGACAATCTCATTTTGACAGTCTCTTTAGCAAATGGAAGACATAGAAGAGACTGGTGATTGATACAGTGTAGTTACAGAAAGAAAAAAAAAGTTTTCCCACCCAACAGTTGGGATCTTAGAGATGGTCCTTAATGACTTGCAGTTCAGAAAATGTCTTTACCAGGATGGGAGATTAAAGGCATATAGTGTGGTTAACATAATTGAAGCAGAATCCAGCATTGGGGACTCTGCAACAAAAGAAAACAGGATGTTGCTTCTTTTCCTGTCTAGGTTTCTTGTGTACAGCTCTTGAAACAAACATAGTAGAAGTTTAGGGGCCAAGAGAGCTGTGGTACTTATTTCCTTTTATTCTCCAGCTTCCTCAAACTACCAGAAGGATCAAAGCAAAGTCTAGCCTAATAGGTCCTTGTTATTTCAGACAACTTGCTTCTTAAACCATGTGAAATTTCACTGGAAGCTTCCATTATAACAGGATTTTCAATAATAAGTATTAATCTTTGCCCTCATCAAAACTCTTCCATCTATTAATAGATATTAGTGGTTTAAGGCTGTGTGATGGAATGGACAGCTGAAGAAGTGGGGGGAGGAGGATGGTAGTAGTATTCAACATCCCAGAAAGGAGGCAGACTGCAGTCCTGAACTGGATGGGATGGGGGAGGCTGGAAAAAGTTTACCAAATAGCAGCATTCAATGGCATTCTGATTTGTAAAGGACATGACCTCTTTCCATATATCCATAGTTTAAGCATTCCTTGAAAGAAGTAACTCTTTAAAATCTACATGTGATTTGTTATGTAGATTGTCATTTCTATCTGAAATCTAAATTGGATTTTGGCAGCTCTAACCTGTTTCTTTTGAGCACAAGGCCTGATACATATGCCGACATGTTTTCTTATGAACATGAACTGGAGTTTTACATTTTTTTTTGGCTTTACATTTTTCATTCAAAATAATTTTATGCACAAATCTACTATTTGATCCCAAAATTATTTCCTTTTTTTTTTTCACTTTTTTGGGTGATGTTACCCAGCATTCACAAGAATAACAGATTACTTTCCAGGGAGGATGTTCACACACTCCTCTATTCCAAAGCAGATCTTTCCAACAGCCATGGCTGAAGATCACATGTGCAATGAGATTACCCCTAGCCCTTCCCTTTTTGATAGAAAATTTTAAAAAAGAAACACAGGAACCAAGTGTGAGAAGAGAAATGGGAATTATTCCACCTTCCAGCAGGCTCCAAATTAACTCCCTCCAATCTTCAGAGATAATGGAAGAGAAATCCAAGAAGAATTCAGATAGAGGAGGATCTATTTTAAACAAGTTTCTTTAAAAGGATAAATTAAAGCAATAGCTAGAAATATTGGGTAAGATTATAACCTTGATTGTATGTTTAAGTTTAATATGTTGTCTCTGTACTAATTGTTTATCATTAGGAATCTTTTTACAAAGCCATTGCCTTATATTTTGCTATGATTTGAGCAAGGTGAGGTGACCACCCTGAAGATAGGTGGTAACAGCATAACTGCAAAGCTTCTACATCAAGGGAAGTGTATAGACCCACAGGCCTGAGGAGGAGGGTAACACCTCCAGTCTTAGCCATGCTATACATTCCATAGCATTTTCTCTTCCTTTATTTTGGCCAGTTATTTCAGGGGTCTCCAACCCCCAATCAATGGACCAACACCAATCTGCAACATGCCGCACAAACAAGTGAAGCCACATCCATGGGATGCAGACAACACACAAAACCACACCCCCTCTGGTCCACAGAAAAACTTCTCTCCACAGAACCGGTCCCTGGTACCCGCTGTTATTTCATATCCTCCATTGACTAGATAAGTTCAGAATATTGAGTTTTCTTGGAGAGAAGAGTGAAAATTAAAATATCTGTGGCCTCCTTTATGACTTATTACAGGGCTGTGCACTGGTATCATGAAATATTTATTATTTTGAGATTGATTGAGGGCTTTCAGAGCTTATTATCCTAGTAGGCCAGCAACACGGCAACGTTTAAAGTTTAATTTCTAGGATAACCTCTACAAGATAATGATACTTTACAAGCAAGACAAATATACCCTTTACAAATGGTAACAAAATAGGGAACAATAATTTAAAGAATTCTAGGAAGCTACCCCCTGGTACTTTTGCTCTGTTACATCCTGAAAAGACGGATACCCTGTGCAAAGTTAGAAGAAAGCGGAAATTAACTTATCACGAATTCCTGTTATCTGACCTTTAGATGGAAGGCAGGTAGCTAGGTCTCCCAAAAATAGGAGCTTATTTTTCCATAAATGTTATCCTGTTGTTTTATAAAATGAAGGTTTAGTTATTTAATTTGTGATTTCTAAACTTCCTGTAATTAGATCTAGTCTTACAAAACTATCCATTCAGGAAAAATATCACCATGTAGGGGTTGAGGAACTCTCTAGCTCTTCTTCTTAACCTGGAGTATAAAAATAAGAAATCAGATTTTACTTCAGAAATAAATGCTATCTTGAAGTGACAAAGACCTTCAATAATGGTCATAAAACAGGAATGCACTTTTAGAACATACCTGTTCTTCACACGCTTACTTAGCTTTGTCAATACTATGTCTCTGTTTATTATGATGGTCATTTGCCAAAGTAGGAGACAATTCCATGACCGACTGATAAGCTGGTCATGGACTGAAATATAATTATCTAATCACGACAGAAGGACAGAATTCAAACTGAAAAATAAAGTAAAATAAGACAGTAGACAAGTGAATTGCAAAAACAAACAAAAATATAAATAAAACACTTTAACTTTAAATGTAAAAATGAATCTAAAAATTAGAGAGACTTAAATGATTAACCATAAATTTGTTTGAATCCTGTATTTATATAAAATAATTTTTAAAAACTAGAGTGGAAATTTAGTTTTTTAAAATAGTTTAGAGTAAGATCTGAGAGCAAACCCAACATTGATAATCTTTTTAGAATACCTTAACTGATTGGGAGGATATTAAATTAATATATTGTTCTAAAAAGAATTAATGCTTTGGATGCCATTTCCCAGGATATTTGATGAATTAAGAATAAAGTGGCAAATAGCATTGTTTCCCTGTTAAGCATATAGCGACATTAATATGGAGATTAGATAAAGTAAGATATAAATATTATTCCAATAAAATAGAGAAGGAGGTCAGGTAAAGCAGCAGTAGAAGCAAATCATTCTGTCAGTTTAGCAAAGAAGATTTTAACTTCCTGTTCAGTAAAAAAAGGTTTGTTTTTTTATGTTTTTGCTGCTTGGTAACAGTGATTACATAACATAAGCTGAATTATCTTCGACCAATTGATTGAGAAAGACATTTTGCAAGAAATATATCTATTCTGAGATATAGAAATTGTTACAAGATCTGTTTCTCATGTTATGGCACTTCAATTGTGGTATACTTTACCGACAGAATTTTCATCTGGCTGATTTTCTCTGATTTTTAAGATACAAGTAATTTGAGCTTCTGCTCTGTATAGGTTTACTTTAGAACACAGGTGTCCAACCTTGACAACATGAAAAGACTTGTGGACTTCAACACCCAGAATTCCCCAACCAGTATGGCTGGTTAGAGAATTCTGGGCTTTGAAGTCCACAAGTCTTAAAGTTGCCAAGATTGGACACCCCTGCTTTAGAACATATTTGAAAGCTGCAAAGGCT